GGACATGAAAGTCATCGTCCACCACCAGAAGATGAATGGAGACGTTCAACAGCCGAAGTTGATTACGAACCAAGACCACCGCGTCATGTCGTTGCAAGAGAACCTGGCTTAGAGCGATCACGCTCACGTTCGCCAATTAGGCGTCGAAGTCCAGATTCCGATTCGGACTCGTCGAGCCGACGAAATGGTATGCTTACGGCAGCACGTACACTACCTGAAGTGGCCAGAAAGTGTACTACCAATTGGGGTGGCGCATTGATTCTCAAGAGTTCACTGTTTCCGGCCAAGTTTCACTTGACCGATGGTGACACTGATATTGTTGATGGTTTGATGAAAGATGAAGAAGGTAAACCTCATTTGCGTATTACCCAACGGTTGCGTCTCGATCAACCAAAATTGGAAGATGTTCAAAAGAGAATATCTTCATCGTCGTCGCATGCAATATTTCTTGGTTTGTCTGGATCAACACAATCGGTTCAAATTGATGATCCTAACGTGCAAACGAGACCGCTACGAAATCTTGTATCGTATTTGAAGCAAAAAGAGGCAGCTGGTGTCATTTCATTGCTTAACAAAGAGACCGAAGCAACTGGCGTTCTATACGCATTTCCACCGTGCGAATTTTCGTCGGAGTTATTAAAACGAACATGTCACAATATTACAGAAGATGGTTTGAAGGAAGACCATTTGGTGATTGTTGTAGTGCGGGGTGGTACTGCTTAAGCAGCATTCAAGATGAAATGAAACACACAAATTCTTTTTCCATTCTCAAAATATAAACATACAATTCATTTTGAATATCCATTTGAAACAATAAAAAAAAAACAAGTTAGGTGAGTGCATAGAAAATCAAAACTATTTGCAAATTAATCCAACCATACTTTTTTTCATTGTGAAGTGATCATCTAATCTATTCGAACAAAAAAAAACAGCCTTTGGATTTGTTTTATGTACATTGTGTTCTAGAGTGATTTAAGAAAAATTGAAAAACTTCAGTCGAATCGAATGCTAAATCAGCAGCTATAATGATAATTATTTTTGTATAGTAGATGTGTTTTTATTCGATTGGATCATTTCAAATGTTTTTTTGATTTAAACAAAACAATTAAAGTAGTTTTTATTGTGATTTTCCATTTGAATGAAGTTTTGCCAAAATATCAAGTTTCGAACAAAAAATGACCACACAAAAGAAAAAAACAAACAAACAAAGAAAAATTGACAAAAATTATCCAACCAAATCACAGCGAAAGGAACTTAATGGCGATCAATTCAACTAATTAAATTCCGATCATGTTTTCTTTTCTCCAATCATTTTCAGATTTAAAATAGGACTACAGTGTAATTTGCAACAGAAAATCGAGTGAATCGGTTTGTGCGAGTGAGTGTTTTGACGTGAAAAATAAAAGTTAATCGAGAAACATAAAATACAATGTCAGAATCGCAACGGAAGAATTGAACAAACAAATAAGCAAAACCAAACAAACAATTTGCGAATGATAAATTAGAAAATTTCAATGAGCCGTTTGGTCAAGGTGGTGCAATGCATGTGAACATCATGTTGATTTCAATTTTTTTTTTAAATTTAAAGAAAGATGCATTTGACACATTTTTTAAACATTTTTTTTTTTTTTTTTCATTTTTAATGCATCGTCTTTTGCACCATAGTATGACATCAATACATTTATTCCATTGCTTAGTTTAAATGCGCATCATCACGAACCATTGCACTACTGCGATCAATATTTTACAATAGTTAAGTTGATAATATGATTGTTTTAAAGCTATTGAAAATGTAATAGTGCAAACGAAAATACCAACAGCAACAAAAAAAACAGCAAATCCTTTATTTTACGCATAAAAAAAGAGAAAAAAAAAATAACAATGAAAGTTTCAATTATGTGTTCGCTTCTAAGATCTAATGTTTTGGGTATAAGTTAAATTAAAACCCATCCCTCCCACAACAGCAACAACATCAATCGTTGGATGACAAAATTTGTGAAAAAAAAAATACAGTTTCAGTTCAGTTTTTCTGGTTTAGTTTATAGTTTCTTATGGTTTAAATAAAAATGGTTTGATCCACATCTAGCCAAATGCCATCGATGACATAATCAAAACACAAAAACAAACATCGTGTGCATTTTTTTTAATGTTTCTGATCTCTTGAACCGATATTCAATCAAGATCAGCCGCACAAAACAACAACAATCGCGATGAAACTAAATAAATAACATTCATGATGAGTGTCTGTTCAAGTGAATCTATTCCGAATCGAAGTTTGATAAAGTTTATTTTTGGTTATTTTGTTTTGTGCATGTGAAAGAGATCATCGAAATAAGAAAAACGCGTAAAGTTCTGGTTTTTTTGTTGTAATTCTTCAGTAAAATAATGTGTGAAAGTAAAACTGGCATCGGTGAAAGAGATTACGTCATAAGAAAGGCATTACGTCTCATTTTCAAAATATTCAATAAAATGCGATGCAAATTTTGTGAGAGTTTCAGTGGTTCAAGTTTAAAAAAAAATATATATATATATATATTTTTAAAGTGAAACGTTTCCAACATGCACACACATTTGATTGTTCTTCAAAGTTTTTCAAAACATAGTTCTTTTTTTGATTTTGTTTTTATCGATTGTTTATTTTCGTACAAATTGAGTTGTTTGAACAGCCAATTTGATGAAATATTGTGCGTGCACGCGATACACAGTTCTTTGCAAACAGAAATTGTGATTTTATTTCACATCATTATTTACTTTCACACCGTGTTTGTTACTAGAGGGTCCATTCTATTTAACATTCATACGATTCAAATGTAATCAGTTCAGTTTATGTGTATGTGTGTACGTATGTGAAATAAATGATCATATACCCAGTGTCGGTCAAATACAGATAAAACAGATGAACACAACACGGCATCCTATGAATAGTGACAATATTGCATGTTTTTTTTGCTAAGATTCTTTTTGTTTTCGTTTAATTTGTGAAATTTGCCTACTCATCGTCAATGCAATTTGTTTTTTTTTTTACATAGATACAGTTGATTTGAAGTGTGGTCATCTCTTTGCAAAAAGAGAACCAGCGTGAATAATTCTCTTTTAAATCCTCGATTTTTAGTATTTGTATCAGCATTGTGAAATTTATCCAACAAAAGTGTGTGATGTCGTGCATAATGATGAAATGGTTCTATGTTGTTAAATAACAATCACACAAACAAAGTTTGATCGCATTTTTTTTCGATTATATCGATAATTGACCAAATTGATTTCGTTTTTTTTTTTCATCTCAAAAATGTTTGAAATACAAATGGAAATTGCAAAAATTAATGGCGAATTTAAATAAAAAAAAGAAAAAAAATGGTTCGGTAAATTGATTGGGAAACGGGCCGGTCAGTGAGCAAAATGAAATCATTAATGTGAATCATGATGTCATGATGAAAGTTTTTTTTTATCGTTTCACTTATTTTATATTTCGAGATTTTTTTTTTTTTCAAAAAAGAAAATTTACAACTCTATGACTTATTCAGGAAAGACAAACGTTTGAAAATAATGATGATAACGATGAATTATTAACTCAGTATACAATCTATCCTATATTCAATATAATTAAGAGCAAAAAAACAATAAAATAAATAAAAATCGATTTGGTGGTGATGTTTTTAATCAATTATTCTTTTGAAATGTGTCCAGTGCAGCTGGCAGTGGTGCTAAATTTAGGTAGTTTATTTTTATATCTATTTGGTTTAAATTCACTGAATGTGTTATCCTTTTTATTCAATGTTATAACTAAACTGTAGGTTATTGAAAATTGGTGAATTTGTGATTTAGTTGACTGTAAACAGTTCTTTGTTGTGTGGTGAAATGCCATTTTTATGTGGCGAATTAAAAAAAATATATATATATTCTGGATTATAACTGAAATTTGCGAACAAAATTTAACTAAACAATATTAATGTGTTATTAAAACTACGTAGACATGCGCTCAGGCAAAACTCTGTTCGAAAATGATAAGTTTTATACTATTCGTGTGTGTGTGTGTACACATTTGTGTCTTCAATGAAATTTTAACCAATTTCAATGAATAGCACGGATATAAAGTCATTGATATTCGAACCGAGCTTCGCGGGTGTGATTCAAAGTGTCAGTTTATTTTATTTCAATTTGATTTGGAATGAAAATGTGCAATCTCAATGTAGATCTTCTCTCATGAAAGGTAAATTGAAGTATATGCATAAAAATTGTTTTTCTTTGCGTCGTTCTCAGATTCATTTTCAGGCCAACGAAATCACTCACCCGTCAACACACGTCAACAAAATACATGGCGCCGTGAAACGAGCTTTTTATGGTTGATCAAAAATTCGTTACAAATGAATTCTTGACGCGACTTATAATCAAGTAATTTACACAAATCTTTCGTGCATTGAGACGAGTCGAGTCGAGTTGGAAGATTAAGATGCGCGGAACTCATACTAAGTTCTCTTTTTTTTGCTGGAATGTGAAGACATGCGCGTCGGTATCTATCTTGT